GAGAGAGAGAGAGAGAGAGAGAGAGAGAGAGAGAGAGAGAGAGAGAGAGAGAGAGAGAGAGACGCTTCAGACTCGTGTGGAAACGAGTTTCTTTTTCTTGGATTGCCTTGTGAAACGAAGTAGACTGCGACGTCACGTGGGCACGGTCATTATAGCTGTATTTGGGACAACATTCGGTCTAGATTCAGCCATAACGACAGTGCATTCTAATCGGGGGAAGATAGATGTGCTCGTAATTGCCGAAAACGGTGCAGGCAAGTAACCCCCTCTGCGCTTTCCGCCCTTTTTTTTTTTTTTTTTTTTTTTTTAAACCTCTTGACAACACTGCGCAGCCTGCCATTCATCATCTCCTAGTTTGTTTTCCGGCCTAATAAATAATAGAGTAAACAGGTTAGAAACAAAAACAGCAGTAAATAGTTGTTGTGATACGGAGCGGAGAACCTAGTGGTAGGTTTCTTGTTTTGGATTGGTGGGGGGGGGGGGGGCAGGGGGGGTTCTCTTGTTCCCACCACGTCCCCTTCAATGCTCATATTTTTTCTCGGTTCACTTTTTCCCACTACATCCGCTTCAGTGGATCTCCTTTTTTTTTGGATTCTCTGTTTTTCACATACATTTTTTGAGTTATGAATTCATTGGTCGACTAACTGACTGTTAGTTTCCGTTATCGTAGGGTTAGTCTGGCTCAATTTCTAATAACGGACGCCGTTGGGTACCGTTACGTTTCTCTCAGGCACACCCATGCCATCTCTCTGAGAGAAGCCGGGGCTTAGAGAAGGGAATAAAGGGGGGCGTGTACCACCAACCAGCCTACCTTCTTCTCCCGAATACAACGTATGGTCATTATGGCTGTGTTTAGACTGAAAGATGCTCCAAATGCAGCCGTAATGACAGTACGTTGTATTCGAGGGAAGAAGGTAGCTCAGTTGGTACACCCCCCCTGGACTGACGGCCTCTCGGTATCCATAATTGCAGTGTTTTATTAATCTGCTTCCAGTGGAGTTCGAACTTAGGTCTGTATTTCAACAGTTCAAGATTAGACCGGCCGTAGGTAATGCTGAATTCGAACTGACCCCCCCTCTGGCCCCCACTCTGACCCCCCTATTGACCCCCATTTGAGTCCAGTGGGGGGTCAATTCGTCGAACTCCTGTCAGAGGGGGGACAGAGGGCCGTGAATTCGAACTGACCTCCCCTCTGACCCCCATTTGAGTCCAGTGGGGGGTCAATTCGAACTCCTGTCAGAGGGGGAACAGAGGGCCGTGAATTCGAACCGACCCCCCCTCTGACCCCCATTTGAGTCCAGTGGGGGGTCAATTCGAACTCCTGTCAGAGGGGGGACAGAGGGGGGTCAGTTTGAACTGACCCCCCCTCTGACCCCCATTTGAGTCCAGTGGGGGGTGAATTCGTCGAACTCCTGTCAGAGGGGGGACAGAGGGGGGTCAGTTTGAACTCAGGTCAGAGTGGGGGGTCAGTTCGAACTCCACTGAAGTCAAATGGCTAAAATACCTACGTGAATCTTGAATGACCTACGGCCGGTCAGTTTGATGATCTTATCTCAAGGCCGTCGCCCTTCGAAAATAAAAGTGGGGGGGGGGGGGGGGGGGGGGGGGGGGGAGAGGACGTCGTGAGCGCAGGGAAAAAAAGATGGGGTAAAAAAGTGTACCGTTAGGTTTCTGGCATGAGCCCTCTTTTTTTTTTTTTTGTTTGTGACCTTTTCTCGATTTATGAGCAAACGATGTTTAAAAAAAATATATTCATATTATTAAGTATGAATTATTCATTATTATGATCCGAATTTTGACGAGGACAAAAAGAAGGGAAAAGCAAACGATGTTCTGAAAAATAGCGAAGGACATGGAAAAGTGCGAGGGGCAATAACGATGGCAAGAGAAAGAAAAAGTTTAATAAGGGACGCCGGGCCCCGATACCGGCTGATGTCACTCCCCACCAATAGGTTGGATCTCTGTTGCTAAAAAAAAAAAAGCACATAAAAAAAAACGAAAATCACAACAGGAGAAGGTAAGGAAATTGAGCTACGCCCCTCTTTTGCCCCCCTTTTTTTATTTTTTATTTTAATTCTGTGACTGAATGGCACACGCATGAAACTGTTAATTACCAAATCTCCTGGGTGCAATAA